GACATCCCCCAAGGTCGCCCGGGCTGCCAGAGGGATGTCTGACTGCCAGCTTAGGCCCGATCCCCCTGGGAAGCGGGCCTAAGCCAGCAGGTGGTCATACCCCGAGGGGTCCCAGAGTGCAAGAGGGCACAGGCCAGGCTGAGGGACCCCCGCACACGAGTCCACAAATTTTTGTGCACCGGGCCTCTAGTAAAAATATATTTAAGAAAGATATATCATAACAAATTTTCAAAAATGAGGCATAAAAATTTTAATAATTTCTGAGAGCAAACAAATAATTCTGGCACCAACAAATTAAGATCAGACTGACATTTTCATCATCTCATGAGCAACACTGAAGGTTAGATGGTGAATTCTTGGAAGATTTGGTTTCTATACCCAGCAAAACTATCAACCATAACATCAACATGATAATATATAGCTATTCAAACAACTAAAAAATAAAACTACCACCCACTAAAAAATAAAATTACCACCCACTTATCTTAGTTTCTTTAGAGGAGAAAAGCAAATAATAGAAGATGTTGGGTTAAAAATCATTGCAACTTACTCAAGAGTTCAATGAATGAATGTAACCCAGGAAAGAAGCTGCAGAAAAGGACTGGAATAGAATCTATTCAAATTAAACAGAAAGTGATTGGGATCCAAGGGAAACATCTTCAAGCACAGAAATGAAATGGAAGCTTCTCATATAAAGAATGAGAATACATGGTGAAGAAAGTACAACATGGAAGGACTAGGTGACGAAAGCATATGTACCTCTTCCTCAAAATAAATCAGAAAGTCCTTTGTGAAAGTGTAGAGGGGTTAAAAACATTATAAGAAGCACATGGTCCAAAAAATAAAGCACAGTAAGATATAATTTTTTTGTCATTGTAGAGGAAGTAAAAAAGAATCAATTTGATGTTAATATTACAAATCTGGCAACCTGTAAGTAAAGGTCCAGCTAAGAGAAGGTAGGAGCAGATTTGGTTTCTGAAGTGGCAAAGGATAAACTAGAGTCACTACTTTTCTTATTTTACCAAATAAGGAGCCAACATGTATTTTTGAAATTTGATGTGAAAAAAAATTGAGTTTACATTTATTTAGAACTAATCAATATGAAAACTAAATATTGTAATAACTATTTGTAGAAGAGACGTTTGTGGATGATGTGGACTATCTTTAGTCAATTCAAAATAAGAATTAGTAGTTGAACTAATTATGCAACATGCAAACCTAAAATTAGGTGAACATGAAAGTGGTTATCCCTTAAGAATAGAACTGAGGGGAGAAAGGGAGACACTAAACTGTTGCATTTTATTATGCAGTCCTTCTATAATATTTGATTACAATTAGATGCGTCTATCCCTTAGACACCTAAAAATCAAATAACCAAATGAAGAAAATGCAAATTATTCAGAAACACACATTATTTAGCACAAAACATGTCATCAGTGTTTTGCTTTAAATGCCTCTTAGGCTCATGCATAAAAAATACACAGAGATTTTCTCACTTGGTGAATGGAAGAATGCTAGCGTAGTGGGGAAACAGCTGAGATGAGAGATCAGTTGAGGAATAACAACAATGTAAGCAATTAGGTTTGAAAATTCATTCAGTCATCCATGTCTTGGAGACCTAAGACACCTTGCCAGGTAGTTTTCCAGTTGCCAAGCTAATTATAGTGAACAAGACACAATCTGTGCACTCAAAGAATCTGGAGTTGAAATGACTCAAATTGGAGAATAAAGGGGAAAAAATGGGCAAAAGATAATAAAACAGTTTACACGTTTCAACAAGCGAATGAAACTAGTTCATTAATTTGATATCCTTCCCCTCAAGAAGTCGTTTTTCTGTCCCAAACGAAAGCAGGGACATCGGGTCCTTGTAAAAGCAACTAGTTAGAATTCGAAAGTAGCTCCCACCTGTTCACTTTCTTCCACTCCACAAGGAAATTACATCTCAGTCATTGACTAAACCAGTGGTTCTCAACCTCCTGGCCCTTTAAATATAGTTCCTCATGTTGTGACCCAACCATAAAATTATTTTCATTGCTACTTCATAACTGTAATGTTGCTACTGGTATGAATCGTAATGTAAATATCTGATATGCAGGATGTCTTAGGCGACCCCTGTGAAAGGGTCGTTCGACCGCCAAAGGGGTCGCGACCCACAGGTTGAGAACCGCTGGTCTAAACCTTTGCCAACCAGAAACAAACCAAAGCAATTGTTCCCATCTGTGATGAGCAACAGGGCCATTTCCACCTTCTCCGACCCCCTCTTTAGTCTTCCTCTGAAGCAGGGATTCCTTTCAGAGGACTCGGGTAAACGTGTGCCGGGATGGGGACCACGCAGAGTAAGCAGCCCGCAGCCTGGCGGGTCCGCCCAGCCTCTCCCTGCGGTAGGCGGGGCCCCTCGCTGCACCTGCCAGGCTCTACAGCCCCACCCACGACGACCAATACCAGCGGGAAACCCCAATACCTGCCTCAGAGTCTCGGGGCGCAGGCGGACACCGAGACAAGGGGAAGGAGCTTCTACACAGGGCCCCAGGGCTCTCTCTCTGGCGGGGGTCGCCGCTACTGCTTAGGGCACCGGGGCCTGCATGTCAGGTGCGGCTGCAAAAGGGGCCGCCTCGGGAGCGCCCGCAGCTCGCACGGTCCGGAGCCTGCGTGCCAAGCCGGCGGAGGTGCCCGGCTCCGAACCAGGGAGAGGCGCGAGCCCGGCCCTCACCCTGACAGCTCCCCGTCTCTCCACGCCCTCCTCTTGGCCCGGGCGTTTCCTCTGACCTCACGGCCGCCGCGCCGCGCCGCGCCATGGACGAAAGACCCCGACGCCCGGCGTCTTGCCCGTTGCCCAACGGAGCGAGAAAACGTCGCGACCGAGGAAGAGGGCCAGGGGGGTGGCGTTCCTGCATGGCATACTAGAAGCGTGGGGTGGCTTCACCCAAGGGGGGGGCGGGGACCACGGATTGCGAGGTGAATCCATGGGGCGCTCAGGCGTTTCGGTGGGACACCTCGTTGGGTCCTTTCTCGCCGCCGTCGCCTGCGGGAGACTCCCAGCTCCCGGCGGAGGCTGACCGGGTTCCCGGGGCGCTGATTCATGTGAGTGACGTCTGCGGGGATCTGGGGTGGGCCGGTTGCGATCGTGGGGTCCCCCTTCTCTAACCAGCCCTCGGGAGGTGAGAGCCGGCCTGCGGGTACCAGTGGGAAGCTCTGGTACTTTCACACGCACCCATCTGGGCGGGAGGAAGTAGGGAAGAGCCGGGGGCGTTTTGAAGGAGCCAAGTTTGAGAAATGGGATGCGGGGTCGAGGGAAGCGATGCTTTCGTATATTCACAAGTTTATTTTAGTGCGCGCTTGTGTGTGTCAAAGGACTGTGATGGTGACGTGGGGGGGCGGAGGGGGGAACAGGAATTCATTCATTTATTGAGCCCACTATGTTCCAGGCACTGGGAACAGAGCAATGAACAAAACAGACCAAAATTCATGCCTCCCCGGCTTAACATTCTATCGAGGAGGACAAGGGCTAAACAAAGTTACGAAAAACACACCATATTTTAGGTTGTGATGATCGCTAAAGGGCAAAATAAAGCCGAGAAGGGAGATAAAGATTGAAATTTTAGTGTGGCCAGGGAAGGTCTCACTGAAAAAGTGACTATCCTACAGCAGAAGAGCAGACAGAGGGGAGAGGATTATCAATACAGAAATCTTGATGACGTGCAGCCAGGCAGAGCGACCGGCCATTGCTAAAGCAGTTAAGCAGAAACGCCTGAACAGCAAAAAATCTTGTGGGTCAGAGTTGAGTGAAGTTGTTAAAGCTGGCGACAAAAGTCAGGGACAGCAGGAGCAGGTCCTTGAAGGATCTTGAGGGCATCTAAGCCATGGGCAGGTTTGGAGTGCTAGAATCTGACTTCATTTTTATTTCATTTTTTAAGTATTTTTATTGATTTCAGAGAGGGAGAGGGAGAGAAAGATAGAAACATCAATGATGAGAGAGAATCACTGATAGGCGGCCTCCTGCACGCCCCCAACTGGGGATCGAGACCGCAATCCAGGCACATGTCCTTGACTGGGATCAAACCTGGGACCCTTCAGTCCTCAGGCTGAAGCTCTAGCCACTGAGCCAAACCAGCTAGGGCCTGACTTCATTTTTAAAAAGATCTCACTGGCTGCTATATCATCAGATTGACTGAAGTGGGGGCAGGATGGGGGAAAGATCATTAGGAGGCCTTTGCAGCAATTCAGAGCAGACATGATGGTGGCTTGAGGCGGGCTGGTAAGAAATAGCCAATCATATTCTTAGTGTTTTTATTGCTTTCAGAGAGGAAACAGGGAGGGAGAGAACGTATAGAAACATCAATGATGAGAGAATCATTGTCAGCTGCCTCTTGTTCACTCCCTGCTGGGCATCCAGCCCAAAACCCAGGCATATATATCCTGACCAGTAAATGAGCCATGACCTGGTTCATAAGTCCATGCTCACCCCCAAGCCACACTTGCTGGGCATGTTCTTAGTGTTTTTAGTTTTGATATGTAAGAGTATTAATGAGTGGTGAGTTAATTTTTTTTAATTAGACTTGGGAAAGACTTTTTAAAAATGAATTGTAGTGTGTCATAGAGTGGCAGTCTGAAGGCAGTGTTGGTCTGACCTCTCTCAGGACCCCAGGGTAGCCCCACCCCAGCCTCTCTTGTCTAACTTCCTACCTAACAGCTCTATTCCAGGTCAGGGCACTTACCCAGGTTGTGATTCCTTCCCTGCTGACCCTGGGGCAACCATTGATGTGTCTCACTTCCTCCATTTCCCTTTCTCTCTCTGGAATCCATGAAAAACATGTTCTTGAATGTGGATTTTAAAAATAATAATAATAAAAGAGGTCTTTCAATAAATGATACAGATCTGACTAAGTGATAAGAAAACATTGAGTTATCAGCAGTGACCTTTTTTGTTTACATAAAATAAAAGGGCATCGTGTTATTGGAGCCATTTTGCAATTGACAGTATCTTAGATTTGATGAAATGTGGTAAAGTATCTGAGATGATAAGTGTTTACCTAATTATAATTCTGAAACAGTAGAATCTGATGTTTTTGGGAAGCAGAGAGACAATTTTAAATACCTTTAGAGATCCTATACTATAAGGTAAAATTTAAAACCTGAATTTAAAACTTCCATTTCAAAACAATAGCTTACTTGTTTATATGTAGTTCCTAACATAGAGAGCCTGAGGCAGGGGATTATTTAAAAGAAATTACTGGCAATTTAGAATCGGAGTGGGGAAGACTACTGAGGAGATTGCTGAGGTAAAGGGAAGTCATTCAGAAATGATAAGAATTTCAGGAATAATCTTTTATATGTGTGTTTTAATGATTAGGATGCGGGTTAAATTCATGTATTTGGTAAAATCAGCTTCAACTTTTACGAAGTTTTTATTAGAACATTTTACCACAGCTTCTTAGGTTTGATAAAATGATTGTTATGATTGGGGTTCCCAGCTGGCACCTCAGTTTTTCTCTTCTATGCAGAAAAGATTTAAGGTCAATGAAAATGAAAGTAAAACAAAGTGGGATTTATTGAAGATGCACTGCAATTGAGAGAGACAATGGCAAAAAGTTGTTATCAGGGACAGCAGGAGATGAGGAGACCTGGATTCTTGTCTTCTTGAGAAAAAATTTCAATTAAGAGACAAAGTGTAGAAAAGCAAGCAAGAATTTATTAAACACAGCAAAAATATACTTAGGGGAGTGAAACAAGGAAGGGCATAGGAGAAGCAACAGGAGAGCCTAGGCTGGGCTGCTTTGGCTCACTGGGAAGTCAGAAAATAGGGGCCTTGGGGACAGGATCAGGGTGTACACCAGAATGAGCTGCTGCTGCCCACTGCTCCCCTGGTTGCAAGTCTCTGGGGGCCCCTTAGAAGTAAGTGGATACTTTCCAGGCTTGGGGGGGGGAGCAAGGTGAGGAGAAAAAGGGAATTGCGTGGGGGTGCTCTCTGGTGGGCCTTTAATTTTCTGGGGCTTTAAAGTCTGGGCATTTAGGGGAGATCTTAGGGGCAGATCAATAGAATATTCATCAACTTTATGCGGATGTATCAAAATGAGATTTATTCTCAATCTGTCCTTTTTCTCTCCCTAAATGTTTTGTATTTGTAATTACTGTGCATGTAAATAAAGATATCTATTTTAATCTCATAATCTTTTTCTTTTATTTTAGCATAGACTAAGTCAGCATTCCCAAACAGTTTTAGAGAATACTGATTTGAATAAATATTAATGTATTTTCTTAGGTAAGGATTCCATGGTTAAATCCATTGAGAAATGATTCACAATTATATCCTTTAGGGAAACTATAGCTTGGGCATTAAAAGAAGTAACTCCAGAATCAGACAAACCTAAGTTTCAATTCTCATTTACTAACTAGCCACATGACCAAGGACAAATTAATTTTAATTAAAGCTTTCTTTCCGTATAATGGAGATAATTACAGTATTTGTAGGTGGTCTGTGAAAACACTTAGTCAGCTCATAATAAATACTCTACAAATGTTCCTGTTATTATTATTATTAACATTATCACCTGTGAGAAAGCCTTGCATATTAGCATATTAAAAGCCACAAGGAGCCCTAGCCAGTTTGGCTCAGTAGATAGAACGTTGGCCTGTGGACTGAAGGGTCCTGGGTTCATTTCCAGTCAAAGCCATGTACCTCGTTGCAGGCTCAGTCCCAGGCCCTGGTTAGGGCTTGCACAGGAGACAACCAATCTATGTGTCTCTTATATCCATGTTTCTCAAGAACATGTTTAAATTTTCTGTCTACTATAAACTGAGCACATAGCTAAAAATCAGGGACTATAAGTAAAATTAAGGTTGTGAACTTTATTTTTAGTGATTTGGCAGGTAACATAAATGGAAGACAACAGGGAGTGGTGAAGTCTGTTTTGCCTTGCTTAAAAGCATTTCCTTTCAGTTACAGACACTGTTAACCCTGGAATACAAAGGCAACCCTGATCTGTGTGGTGATAGTTGTAATCCCAACAGGCCAGTGATCAGGAACAAAGTCTGAAGAACATAAAGTACAGGTCAAAGAGGAGCCCTGAAATAGATACCAAGGTGCCGGGGTCCAACCCCAGCAGGTCCAGGGGTCCCCAAAGGTGTGGACGGAGTCAGAGAAGAAGGAATGACACAGAGACAGCGTTCAGTTGATCAGCAGCCTTGCCAGGATCTCTAGCCACAATCTCCAGCCAAGTTCTGTGTCCATGTTCTCTTACTAGGTTCTCCAGCCACGTTCTCCAGGTTCTCCAGCCAGGTTCTGTAGCCATGTTCTCTCACTAGGTTCTCCAGCCAGGTTCGGTTTAGGTTCTCCAGCCAGGTTCGGTCGCCAGGTTCTTTAGCTGGGGGTAGTAAAAGATTATGTAGCTTAAGCACGATTGTTTGTAGTTAAAGTGATTAATTACCTGCCTGGCACTTAGTTAAGAGGTTTTATTCCCTCCCTAACTTCTGGGGAAAATCCCTACCTAGGGAAACAACCTTTCTCGGAGAGGTGACCTTGGTTAAAACACAGCGCCATGGTGAGCAAACATATTAAGAACAGTATGCCATATATGCCAGGTCCCTTGAAACAGCAAGGATGGACTGGCTCCCGGGACCAAGGAAGTAGGTGAAATCAGGTGATAAGTATCCTTCATTTTCTAAATTAAGAAAATGAAGAGCAAAAAAAATAAGGGAAGCATAGATTCATAAATTTTTCCAAAAAAAAAAAAAATCAATGGATAAAATATCCTCAAGTAAAGCTTAACAAAAATAAATAGATACATACACACCTTCTTCTATATAATAAAAACCTAATATGCAAATTGTCCCCTCCACCAGGAGTTCGGCCACTCGCTATAAGGTGCGCTGACCACCAGAGGGTAGCGCGGAACATGGCGGGTGTCAGTGATGTGGCACTGACAGCAGGTGGCAGTGGAGGCGCTACCAGCCCTGATGGGCCCCGATGAGAGCAGGACCACAGTGGGATGGTGGAGCAGATCAGTGGGTGATGCCAAGCCAAGGCAGGTGCAAGCAGGGCCTGATTGCCCCGTAGACGGCGACCAGCGGCAGTGGCGGGGGGCAGGGCATTGAGGGAGCTGGGTGAGGGCCCGTTGACTCAGGTGGAGGGGAATGCCCTGGGGTCCAGGTGCTGCCCAGAGCCAAGAGGTCAGCTGGGACCTGCCCTTCCACGCCAGACGCTCACACTTTGATCGCTGGCCAGGCCTAGGGAACCTCACCTGTGCATGAATTCCGTGCACCAGGCCTCTAGTAGTAAATAAAAGAACTGGTACATAACAGTTCTCAGCTCCAGCTCCAGACAAAGCAATCCAGAATAAACCATACATACCAATTAGACAAAGGTACACAACTGGCCATAAACACCGAGAAAAAAATTGTTTTATGAGAATGATGTATACTGTTCTGATTTAAGGGAAGGGGAAAAAAAATCACTGAATTCTTTCTGCCCAATTTTGCTAAGTTCCTAAAAAATAGTGTATTAAAAAAATTTCAACAAAACATAAATTTTAGAGCACCTGAATTTGAAATTTGAGAATACTCTGCATTCTGACTACTAATGAACAGTCCTCATTTTGTTATGCAATAATTAATAATTTTCCTAGTCTCCATAAATCATGCTATATAACATAGTAATATATCAGGTTACTTTATTTTTTAATTCTCACCCAAAGATATTTCTTCCATTGATTTTTTTAAAGAATGTAAAGGGGGGGGGGCGCGGGAGACACATTCATTAGTTTCCTCCTGCATGCTTCCCCACCCCCCTCAGGAGGCTGGGGATTGAACTTGCAACTGAGGTACATGCCCTTGACTGGGAATCGAACCCAAGACTCTATGGTCCTCAGGCCATCACTCTAACCACTGAGCAAAACCAGCCAGGGCATATTAGGTTACTTTCAGATGCCACTATATCAACAATACTACACAAAAGCCCCATTAAAAGAGTATCTTAGGACAATAATTTCTCTGGCAATAATCAAGTTTTTGGGGCAAAATATAATTCTATATAATAAAGAGCTAATATGCAAATGGTCATCACGCCCTCATGCCATAAAAGCTCTGACACTCAACACTAGGGAGAGGAATGTGGACCAGCAAGGCACAAATGAGCTTGGGAGGGGAATGTGGACCAGCCAGGCACAAATGAGCTTGCAAGAGAGGAATGGGATCCAGCCAGGCACAAATGAGCTCCTGAGAGAGGAATGGGGACCAGCCAGGCTGCGGCCCGGGAGGGGGACAAGCCGCACGCCCCGCGGCCCTGTGTGCCCCCAGCAGCACGCCCCCCGGGCCGGGGTGCCAGCAGCAGCGCCTGTGCCTGCAGCCTGGGAGAGGGACAAGCCGCCCACCCTGTGGTCCTAGGTGCCAGCGGCTAGGACTGCGGCCCGGGAGAGGGACAAGCTGCCTGCCCCGCTGTCTTTTGCACCAGCGGCTGAGGCTGCGGCCTGGGAGAGGGACAAGCCCCGCAGTCCTGGGCTCCAGCAGCTATGCCTGTGCCTGTGGCTCAGGAGCGGGACAGTCCCCGCGGTCCTGGGCGCCAGTGGCTGCATCTGCGGCCCGCCCTGCAGTCACGGTAGCCGGTGCCTGCAGCTGTGGCTGCGGCCTGGGAAAGGGATACGCTACCTGCCCCACCATTCCAGGCGCCTGTGTCTGTGGCCTGGGCGAAGCTGCCCACCCACAGTCCCCTGTGGCTGCGGCTGGCCAGAGGGAGGGAAGCCTGGGTCCCGGGTGTCTGATAGGCTGGAGGAGGGAATCCTGGGTCCCGAGTGCGGGTGGAGGCAGAGGCGGTTAGGGGCGATCAGGCCAGCAGGGGAGCAGTGAGGGGCAATCAGGCAGGCTGGCAGAGGTGGTTAGGGGCGACCAGGCCGGCAGGCAGAGAGGTTAGGGGTGATCAGGCAGGCAGGCAGGAGAGTGGTTAGGAGCCTGTGGTCCTGGATTGCAAGAGACAGTTGGACACCTCCAAGGGGTAGAGGGATGTCCAACTGCCGGGGATCAGGCTTAAACCAGCAGTCAGACACCCCCTAAAGGCACAGGCCTGGCTGAGGAACCCCGGCACCCCGTGCATGAATTTCTTGCACCGGGCCTCTATTTTAAAAATAACTATATAACACACCAGCTGCTAACCAGTGTCCACTTTTTCTCTATTCCTAAATAACTGGTTATCTTGGCAAAATTACTTATGATCCCAATATTTAAAAAAAAAATTCTTGTGAGATATTTTAGATTAGTTTCTAGTCAGGTTTATGTGTTGACATGACTTTTGTCAAATGCTAAGAGCTATTATTGTTCTTAGAAGTTCTGGAAAGTTTTTCAGTACTTGTTGATTAACTATTATTAGATTTTTCAATAATATAAGTAGAATGCATAAGTTTATGCCAATGTTTTCTGCTAATATGCAAATGATTACGAGCCCTGGAAGAAGAGTGTAGGTTTGTTTGTTTTTTTAGTTTTGTTCACCCTAGGATATTTTTACATTGATTTTTAGAGAGAGTGGAAAAGAGAAGGAAAGACAGAGAGAAGCATTGATGTGTTGAGAGGAACACATAGATTGGTTGCCTCCTGCACCCACCCAACCAGGCCCCGGCTGGAGAGGAGCCTTCAAACAAGGTACATGACCTTGACCAGAATTGAATCCAGGACCCTTTGGTTCACAGGCTGGCACTCTGTTCACTGAGCCAAACCGGTTAGGGCTGATTAACCATTTTTAATGTGAAGTACTTGGCAGTTTAGCATGATTGATTAATCTCAGAATTTTTGCTTATATGCATTTTTCTGTACATGACAGTATCTTTTCTAATTTCTATGAATTATTATAAAATTATAATTCTAATTTCTTTTACAAGGACACAGTAAAAGAAATTAGAATTTTATTGACATTACTTCTAAGTAAGCATATGATTAATATTGATGTTTTCCTAATTGTTGATCTTTTAATATTTGTCCTTCCTGATCACGTTTCTCCTTAACATTATACATAATTAAGTAAATAGTAGGAATATGCAATATGCAAAAGTAACATATAAGAAGGAATTCAGCAATTCTTTGGAACACAGGTATGGTACTTGGTTATAGCTTAGTTAAGGTTATTGCTATTCTTTTCCTTTTGTATTTCTGTCTTGTGTGATAATGTTCTGCAGTATTTTAACGCTTTCTTTAAAACTTTACATCCTTAAAATTCTGTCTTTGGTTTGGTTTGTAGGAAAAGTGGGTTTTTTTGTAACATTGATCTGATACAGTAGAAAATATTTTTCTTTTTAGACTGCTTGTTCACAGTGCCCTGTAAAATAAGTTTATTCCTTCAACAGTATAATTTATCACTTTTATTTTTTCATTTAGGATTTTCTGCCGTTTCTTGGCAAAAATGGCAACCAATGATGCTGTTTTGAAGAGACTAGAACAGAAAGGTGCAGAGGCAGATAAAATTATTGAATATCTTAAACAGCAAGTTGCTCTTCTTAAGGAAAAAGCAAGTAAGAAAAATTTAAACTTTCTCAGAAGATACTTAAAATGAATTCATATGTTGACAGACCAAAAAAAAAGTGTGTATTACATAAATTATTACATTATCTTGATGATAACTTTTATATTCCTTTAATATTTTAATTTGGAATGAAATGATAGTCTAGAATTAAGATAAATTAGAATTGATATATAGTGAATGTATGATATATAGAGGAAACAATGTATTATTTTCAGATTTCTTGGGGAAATAACGCTTAAAATAATTTGGCATAGAATTAGAGCTTAAAAATGAAGGAAAATTGGTGAAATCAAATATGTACTGAAGCTTGTATAGAAGAGAATGTATACTTAAAATTATTTTTAAATTGATTTGAGAGAGAGGAAAGGAGGAGAGAGAAACATTGATATACTGTTCCACTTGTTTATGCATTCATTGGTTGTTTCTTGTATGTGCCCTAATTGGGGATCAAACCTGCAAATTTGTTGTATTGGGATGACACTAACCCAACTCACCTACCTGGCCAGGGGTGAGAATGTATACTTTTATATTACTCCTATGGCATTGTCTGAAATGATTTTTAATTTTTTTCCATACTTATTTATATTTTACCTAGAAATTGCTATGATGTGTATAAAAATATCAAATCTAAATTTCTGCTTGTAGGATTTAGCTTGACCTTTGTTTTGTTTGTTTAAATATATTTATTTTATTTTTCAGTAGCCAATGTTATTCTTGTAATGAAAATTCCAAAATCTTTATCTAGTATATGTTAGGACATCCCGCATTCCTGTTCCCAACCCAGTAAATGCCAGGAATAGCTCCCAATATTTTGAAAATCCCTCAGGCTTTTAAAATTCCACATTGGGAGCACTACCAACCTCACTGAGAATCATTGTTTTTTTCTTTTATATTTTTGTATATCCAATTGCTCACCTTCAACACACATCTATATTATGTCTTGAGCAAATTTTTGTAGCTATTTCACTCATTAAATGTTCGCTCACTTAAGCTTCTGAGACATGAAGTATAAAGGCTTATTTATTTAGGTATTTTTACAAGGTAATGACCAAAAAAAAAATGAGAATAGTTTTTTCTTGTTTGGTAATTAGACCTCAGACTTTTAAAAATTAAATAATTTAATATATCTAATATTTATCTCTCTTACAGTCTTATCTGTTATTGACACTTTGAGCAAGGTTGTTAAATTTTCATAAGCATCTTTACAGAAGCTAGAAAAATGATTCATAAAACCTTTTCTGTTCTATTATTTTGCAGATTATCTTTTCTCTCTTTTAAATACCATGTTGTTTTAATAATACTAAATAAACTCTGATGTAAAGAAACTGGCCAAAAAAAACATTTGATTATTAGAATTATCCTGTCTATGTGTATACTGGCTATACCCTCTTTTCTAGTAGTATTCATAGGGAACCATTTAGAAAACACTGCTATACTGTACTTAACTAGATTTTCTTCATCTTAGTTTTGCAGTCGACTTTGAGAGAAGAGAAGAAACTTCGAGTTGAAAATGCTAAATTGAAGAAAGAAATTGAAGAATTGAAGCAAGAGCTAATTCAGGCAGAAATTAAAAATGGAGGTGATTAAATATCGAAATGACATAGTTTTACTTAAAATAGTAATTATTATTTTATTGTTTATTAATTTAGGTATTATGCTTTTTTAAAATTTTATTTTACCCTCATAGCATCCTTTCTTGCATATTTGTCCTCTTTTACAGAAGGAAAAATGGAGATACAGAAAAGCCACATGACCTGGCCTGAGATTATGCAAAAAAAAAAAAACAAAGCTGGAGTTCAAAACCTATGCTTTTAACTCTGTGCTGTGCTTCAACTTGCCCATTACCACTCGCTATTAAATAATTACTGACAATAAGTCATAATAACATTTAGTTAATATTTATTAAGTTTTAATATATTCTAGGCATTGTGTTGGCAGTTGTTTCACATACATTATGTATTTTATCCTTAAAATTAAGTGTATATAAATACCCTTGTTTACATGAGGAAATTGAAACTTAGAAGTATAAAGTAATTTGTATGAACTTGTACAGTTTTAAATTATCAAAATAGATAATTATCATTTCAGCTATTATAAATAAAATTAAAAATTTTATTGAATTATTTTAAAGGAGTCTAGATAAATTTGCATTATTATGAAACACTAATAATAATAGTCCTATTACAATTTCAAAGTATCATGCACAAAGCCATTTGGTTATATGATGGAAAATTCTTCCTTGGTGAGTTAAGCAGTGCCAAGTATACTTACTGCTTTCTTTTGACCATCATTCTGTAAGTGAATTATTTTGAATACTGCAGTATGAACTCCTCTACCCTTAGTGAGTTAAATTTAAGTAAGTAAAAACTAATAATGTATGCTTAAAACTACCATCTAGAGAGAATTTCATTTGTTAGTGAAAAATTTGAGGCTAGTTAATGTTTTCCAAGACTAAGAGATTTGGAATACAGTAAAATAGTATCAATATATTTACAGTTCAAATATTATCAATATAATAAAAGTTTTTAATATTGCTGAAGAAATTTTTTTAAGAAATTTTCTTTAAAAAGTTTTTTGAAGTAGAATTATGAATCTCTATTAATTCTGATACAGAAATGACTAATATTAATACACTTACTCAGTTGATTGTTCAATATAAACAAAACCTGTGTGATAAACACGCTCTCTTACTAAACCATAAGAGATAGTCTCTGGAGATAGATTTCCTGAGTATAAATTATGTTTCCCTATTCACCGTGTATGTGATGGGCCAATTTTTTAACTTTTGTCTGGCTCAGGATGATCATTTGTTAGTGGGAATATGAATAGAAATTGCTGCTTAAGGTATTCGTGAGAATTGTATGAGTTAATTCATGTAATACATTTTGAAAAGTGTCTGCGACATAGTGAATCCATAATTTTTTTAAAAATCCATAATACATTTTAGCTATTATGTTATCTGTAATTTCTTCAGTTTAATCATTAGTGATTAAAGGAGAAACCTGCATCTACTGTATTCTTTTATCATGTTTAAAATTTAGTTAATTTTTTGGCAACCTTTTTACAATCTTGGACAAATAGAGACCTGATAATCATATACAGTGAATTTCTCTTTTTAAAACAGTTTATATTTGTGATTCACAATTTCATAGTTTTTATCTTATTTGTCAGTTTAATGTAAATGGCATTACCTATTTTATTTTCTGTTTTAGTGAAACAAATACCATTTCCATCTGGTACTCCACTGCAAGCTAATTCCGTGGTTTCTGAAAATGTAATACAATTTATGCCAATCACACCCACATCTTCTGGTGCCAAAGAACAGATAAAAGGAGGAGGAGGAGAAGAAAAGAAGGTGAAAGAGAAACTTGAAAAGAAAGGTATTTTACTTTAAGGTTATTTGGCCCTTGACTGGTTTATTGGATCTCAACATTTTTTATAATGATGTCAGAAAGAAAGTGCAGACTTTCATGAACTAGAATAAAGTTAGAAACAGTATGATATTGGAACTCAGAAGCTGGACCCTAAAGGGTGTGTGAAGGTTGATCAGGTCAACAGGATAAGAGTATGGCATTTGAGGTATAGGGACCAGCATAACTAAAAACATAGAATGTAGAGATTAAGTATAGAAGCCCATATGTAATCTAGTGTGACTGAATTTTTTGTAAATTTTTTGGGGGGTCATTTAGAAAAGTCACAGGTGCAAAGTTGTGAAGATAGGAAAAGGATATTCTAGTCAAAGTATCATTTCTGAACTAAGGCATGGGGATGTTCAAGTTTTAGAATAGGCTGTATCATTGTTTTATGCCTACTTCTTAATAAATTTTATAAAGTGAAGGAATTAGTCTGAATTGCTTTCATTGTAACCATACCACCTAATGATAAAATGATGTAGGAGAGGATTTACAGCCCCTATCTACTTATACTTATCAGTATGTTTAACTGATGAGAGAAACATTTTATCAGGGAAATTATATTTGTAGTTCATTCCACCAGTTGGCTAGAGTATGGCATTCTTTCTAAATATAGTATGTTTCACTTTCTAAAGACAGTAAAAATTGTAAAGGATTTTCTACAGCTTTGTTTCAGGGAAATGCAAATTTTTTTCTTTAAAGGGCCAGTTAGTAAATATTTGAGCTATACAGGCTCTGTGACAACTATGCCCCTCTGTCATAGTGTAAAACCAATCATAGACGATATGTATATGAACAAACATGGCTGTGTTCAAATAAAACTTTGACAGAAATAGCATGCTGGATTTGGCCCATAAACTATAGTTTACCAACTTTTTGTCCCTTTAACTAGAGATAAAGGTAGTTATTCAACAGAGAAATAGCTAAAATAGGGCTCAAGATGCTATGACTTGGATAAATAATTATTTCCTTTGTTATTCTAGTGAAGGTAGGATATAAACACTTTTTTTTTTTTTAAGTTCATCGGTATCAATGTTATGAAGTGTTTTCTAGTTTATTTTTTGTTTTACTTCTGATGTTTACCCATTTATAAATATTCTTTAGGAGAGAAAAAGGAAAAGAAACAACAATCAGTAGCAGGAAATGCTGATTCCAAACCAATAGATGTTTCCCGTCTGGATCTTCGAATTGGTTGTATCATCACTGCTAAAAAACATCCTGATGCAGATTCTTTGTATGTAGAAGAAGTAGATGTTGGAGAAGCAGTCCCAAGGACAGTTGTCAGTGGCCTGGTGAATCATGTTCCTCTTGACCAGGTAATTTGTACAACTAACTTCTGCATACACATGACACTTTCATTTCCTCTTTCTTTAGATGTTTTTTCCATATAATTTTGTATTAGATGACCAACAACTGGAGCCAATATTGATTAGTTCAATTGATTAGTTTGAATGTGATGAATTACACAAAAAAGTACAGAAAACTACTAAACTCTTGCAAAAAATCCGTATATTAAAACTGGACTTATAAGGATGAAAAGAAGATACATTTTTCTCAATTAAAAAATGTTTTTAGTTTGGTGTATGTAAAATACTGTGTTTAGGTGTGTGTATCATCATTGTTTCTCATGGAATTTTATTATTCCTCGATTTTTTAAAATCACTGTTATATAAACCTAGGAAACATCAATCTAAAAGTAAAATAACAGCCCTGGCTGAGTAGCTCAGTTGGGTAGAGCATCATCCTGATACCCCAAGGTTACAAGTTCTATCCCTGGTCAGGGCACATATAGTTAGTGCAATTAATGCATAAGTAAGTGGAACAATAAATTAATGTTTTGCTCTTGTGCTCTCCCCCCCCTTACTCCCTCTACCACTTTCTCTGTCTCAAAATCAATCAATAAGATATTTTAAAAATATATAAATAAAAATAAAAGAACAGGTTTCATTTCTTTATAACTAAAGAAATATTTTCATACTTTAGGAGAAAACAGGGGAGGAAATCATGGAGATTGAACTGCAGATTTTTTTTTTTTAATTGATTTTTTACAGAGAGGAAGGGAGAGAGATAGAGTGTTAGAAACATCAATGAGAGAGAAACATCAATCAGCCGCCTCCTGCACATCTCCCACTGGAGATGTGCCCGCAACCCAGGTACATGCCCTTGACCGGAATCGAACCTGGGACCTTTCAGTCCGCAGGCTGACGCTCTATCCACTGAGCCAAACCGGTTTCGGCTGAACTGCAGATTTTAATGTTATTCCTTTAGTTGTCAAAAGTTAGATGTTTTGTACTTTGTTATTTAGGTATTTAAAAGTATAAAAATAAGTATTTTTTATACACACATATGTATACAGCATATGTATATATATGGTGATACATATATATATATATTTCCAATGACAGTGACATGAATTAAAGACAGTAATAGTTTTTAATTTGCTCTTTCAAGATATCTTATGGGTAATTTTAATCATCTACCTATTTTCTCTGCCCTATGGTACTTCAGGGATATTGCAAAGACCATAGACTTCAACATTGAGATAGTTCTGCCTTTCTGTCCATTGCCAGTTCTGTTGCTTATTGAATTTGTGAACTTGGATAAATCTTTACATTTATTAATTCATCTTTCTAGATGCAAATATTTATTGAGCTCCTGCAATGTACCAGAAACTATATGCTAGACAAGGGACAAAGCAGTGAAATTAAGATGATAGATTTGTTTGTGTTCATTTTTTAAATCCTTTTTGAGGTTCACATTCCTATGCGGACATCAGGAAATCATCTATAATAATCTATAATAATAAAAGCATCATATGCAAATTAGACCAGACATCCTTCCAGATGAAGCCAAGGCTGCAAGGGAAGTCAGTGCTGGCAGCTGGGGGAAGGAAAGGCCTACTCTTGCATGAATTTTGTGCAAGTCGGGCCTCTAGTAATACAATATTATCCTATATAATAAAAGCCTAATATGCTAAGTGTCCGGTCGTCTGGTTGTCCATTCAACCATCAAAGCATAATATGCTAATTATATGCTAAGGCTGCTCAACCGCTCACTGTGATGTACACTGACCACCAGGGGGCAGTCAGTTGACCAGTTGCTATGATGCACTGACCATCGGGGGCAGACACTCCAACTGGTAGGTTAGCTTGCTGCTAGGCTTTGGCCAATCGGGACTGAGCGAGACGGGCTAGACACAACCTGAAACTCTCCTGTGGTTCCTCCCTGGCTGGCCAACCTCCCCAGCCTGGATGGTGCACTGATTGGGTCCCTCGGCCTGGCCTGAGCCCTCTCGCAATCCGGGACCTCTCAGGGGATGTCGGAGAGCCCGCTTCGGCCCGATCCAGACCAAGGGACTCCACTGGTGCACGAATCAGGCCTCTAGTCCTATTTAATAAAAGAGTAATATGCAAATTAACCATCACTCCAAGACAAAAATAGCAGCACCCATAGTGGCCAGGGTGGGATGCTGGCGGCAGTGCCCTGGCAATGCGAGCCCAGCAGGCAAGCACAGCCCGCAGGCAGCACCCAGTGACACAGGAGCAGCAAGCACGGCCTGCAGGCAGGCCCCGCAGAGAGCAGGGAACAACGGGGAGCAGGCCTACGCTGCCAGTAGGACATTCCCTGAGGGCTCCCAGATTGGAGAGGGTACAGGTCGGGCTGAGGGGACCCCCCCCCAACGAATTTCGTGCACCGGGCCTCTAGTGTTAAATAATAAATATCAAGAAAAATATAAAATAGGGAAGAATCAAGGAAGAATTGATGCTATGATGATGATGTCATTTTATATAAAGTAATTCAGGAAGGCCTTATAAAGAAGTGATATTTAAGTAAAAGGTCTGAGAAAATAAGTCAAATGTCCATCTGGTAGAAGAGCATTATAGATTGCTGAATCAAATGTATGCCTCTGATGTTCACTACAGCAAAGTAAGGGGGAATATTATGCGAGATGAAATCTGAGATAAGTTTGCCAAATAACATCGGGTCTTTTAGATCATTGTAAAGACTTTGGCTTTTATTCTGAAATGAAAACCATTAGAGGTTTTTTGAGCTAAGGGGTAACATGTTCTGCCTCATATTAATAGGATCATTTAGCTGCTCTAACGAGGGGATGAGTGAAGAAGATTTTCTTATTAAAAATTTATGGACTTGCCACATGTATGTTTTTTCTCTTTATATTCATCTTGTATAGGATGAGGTCTCCTTATAACTACTTAGGAATGGATGTTGGAGAAAAGAACCAACTGGTCGTAAGCCAGTTAAATTGGAAAAACTCCTCATTGGGGCTTTATCTTTTTTGTTTTCACAAGTTGCAGACTGTTTCTATTCCAAAAGCTGCCACTCACAGCCATAAGCAAATCTCTTTATACACATTTGTATCTAACCCATGAAGGCAGTACTACTAAACATTTATGAATCAGGGACATCTCCCCCTCCCCCCTAAATTGCATACAATATTTTGTAGGTTGATGTATTTTTCAAAGGTAAAGGTCCACAGATGTCATCTGACTTTTGAAAGATTAACTGTATGGTATTTCTTATATGTAATTGTATAAAACATTTTTTTATATGTGGCATTTTCAAGTTATTTGTTGAAGATGAGTCTTATTCATGAAGACCTCCCAAAGAGGGAGCCTTTGGAATTTGAAACTTTGGTCTATTTCTTTTTTCATCTTTATTGTTGAGAGTGTTACAGATGCCCCCTTTTTGTCCATCCATTGCCCCCCTCCTCCTGGTTCCTGCTCCCACCCCCCAGGCCTTCACCACTCTATTGTCTGTAATGCATATATGTATGGAAGAGCTTTGCTTAATCTCTTCTCACCCCAACTTCCTCCTTCCCTCTGAGATTCCTTAGTCAGTTTCATGTTTCCATGCCTCTGATTCTATTTTATTCATCAGTTTATTTTGTTCATTAGATTTCTTGTTCATTTATTTTGATTTTTAGATACAATTATTGATAGATATGTATTTATTGTCATTTTCATATTTTTTTATCTCTTCTTCCTCTTTAAGACTATTCTTCAATATTTCATGTAGTACTAATTTGGTGGTGAACTCCTTTAGCTTTTTCTTGTCAGGAAGCTTTTTATCTGACTTTCAATTCTAAATGATAGCTTTGCTGGGTAGAATAATCTTGGTTGTAGGCCCTTGTTATTCATCACTTGGAATATTTCTTGCCACTCCCTTCTGGCCTGCAGAGTTTCTCTAGAGAAGTCAATTGACAGTTGTATGGGTACTCCCTTGTAGGTAACTAACTGCTTTTCTCTTGCTGATTTTAAGATTCTCTCCTTGTCTTTAGCCCTTGGTATTTTAATTATGATTGGTCTTGGTATGGGCTTCATTGGATGGTGGCCTTTTGTTAATTTTTTGAGGAACTTTCATACTGTTTTCCATAGTAGCTGTACCATTTTTCACTCCAACCATCAGTGCGTAAGGATTCCCATTTCTCCACATTCTCAACACTTACTATTCGTTGACTTTTTGAAAATAGCCATTCTGACAGGTGTGAAGTGGTATGTCATGTGATTTTTATTTCCCTGATGATTAGTGATGTTAAGCATCTTTTCATATGTCTGTTGTTCATCTGTATGTTCGTTTATTTGGGGGAAAATTTTCTGTTCAGGTCATCTACCCTTTTTTAGTTGAATTGGTGTGTTTTATTATGTTGAGTTGTATGAGTTCTTAATACAATACAGTCTTTATAACTTTATCAGATATAATGTCACTGCAAATATCTTCTCCCTTTTGTTAAGTTGTATTTTCATTTTGATGGTTTCCTTTTCATAGCAAACGATTTTTAGTCTGATGTAGTCCTATTTGTTTATTTTTGCTTTTATTGCCCTAACCCAGGGGGACATATCCAACAAAATGTTAAGATTGAGATCAAAGTGTTTACTTCCTATGTTTCCTTCTAGGAGTTTTATGGTTTCAGGACTTAACATTTTAGCCTTTAATCCATTTTGAATTTTTTTATAGAGTATAAGAAAGTTGCCCAGATTCACTTTTTTTTCACATATCTATCCAGTTTTTCCAATATCAAATATTTGTATCCTTCAATTTTAGTGAAGTTATTAGTTTTAAATTTTTTCTGTGGAGTCTTTAGGATTTTCTATATACAGGCAGTCCTCAGATTACATCAGACTCGACTTACATTGTTTCATGGTTACATTGCCTTCTCCCATTAGCAATAGCAATGCATCATTTGTCTTCTGTATGTTCCCTGCTGAGGATCAAGCCTGCAACCTGGGCATATGCCCTGACCAGGATGGAACCTATGACCTCTCAGTACATGGGTTGACACTAACTACTGAGCCATACCAGCTGGGCAGATCATATGTTTTAGTTTTGGTTAATGTGGTGTATCCTATAATGAGAATGTTAGTGTGTTTGATATTGCCTCAGAGGTCCCTTAAACTAAATTTGTTTTTTGTTTTTATTTTAACATTTTCTTTATTCAGTCATTTCTTTAAATATTTACCTAAAGCCCTGGCTGGATTGGCTCAATGGACAGAGCGTTGGCCTGTGGACTGAAGGGTCCTGGGTTTGATTCTGGTCAGGGGCGCATGCCCCAGTTGTGGGCTTGATCCCCAGTAGGGAGCGTGCAGGAGGCAGCCAATCAATCATTCTCTCTCGTCATTGATGTTTCTCTCTCTGTCTCCTTCCCCCTTCCTCTCTGAAAACAATAAAAATATATTATAGATAAATAAATATTTACCTGAAAAGCCTTTTCTCTGGTCCTTCAACTGTAATGCACTGTCAGGTTGTAAAATTTCTTTCTCATATTTGTATAAGGCTTTATAACAGCAATAAAAGATTTAGAATACACAAAGATAAAGATACATCCACAAAAATAGAACATTTGATACTTAGCATCTTGAGTGTACCTTAATGTATTCTAGGTATAATCACTTCAAATTCTATACATCTTAATCATCTGTTTGTTTTTGATACAGATGCAAAATCGGATGGTGATTTTACTTTGTAACCTAAAACCTGCAAAGATGAGGGGAATATTATCTCAAGCAATGGTGATGTGTGCTAGTTCACCAGAGAAAGTTGAAATCTTAGCACCTCCTATTGGATCTGTTCCTGGAGACAGAATTACTTTTGATGCTTTTCCTGGTAAGTATTTATTAGCCATTATTGAAAATCATTAATGTTCACAAAGTGATGCTTATAATGTTTAAGTTTAAAATTACATCCTGTGTATGATTTACTATGCTTTACATTAAATGACCATTATTATTGAGATTATTGCTATTGGCTCAAGATGACATATTAAGCACAAACATCTACCTATCTCCCACCCCATTAATGAACACATTACATAAAACATCAGAGAGAGTTTTTGCTTTAGGTAAAATACTAAATATAACCCCTCATAGCAGAAGAGTGTGTTGTGGTCATAAAACAAATTAATGTGCTACAAAATTATTTAAGATGTAGATTGTCTCAGAATGTAGCACATAAATGCGAAGAGATGAAAAGTTGACATGGGGGAAATGCATATAATCCTCAAAGTCCATCTAATATATTTATATATGCTTTTACTTTAGGATATAGAGAAAATCTCTAAGTAAAACTTCATATTTTATCTTATTTTTAAATATATTTTTATTGATTTCAGAGAAGGGGAGAGAGGTATAGAAACATCAATGATGAGAGAGAAGCATTGATCGGCTGCCTCCTGCACGTCCCCCATAGGGGATTGAGCCAACAACCCAGGCATGTGCCTTGACCGGGAATTGAACTTTGATTTCCTGGTTCATAGGTTGGCACTCAACCACTAAGCCACACCGGATGGGACATGTTTATTTTAATAATCTGAAAGGAAGTTTCATTTCATATTGCTTGTTTTCTCCAGTAAAGTGCTCCTGAGACAGATGAAGTTTTATAATGCATGAGAAAGTTTTTTCAAACAGGTCTTTGAAGCAGAAGAGAAAGAATCCTTGGTAGATGTAGAATAAAGTTTTCTTTCATTAAAGAGGGAAGATCTTATAAAGAGGATAGACAGAAATTAAAAGATTAAATTTACTTGAAGGATATTCATTTGACTAGAATAATGGGAGAAGGAGTAATAAATTAGGTTATGATTTTACTCACATGTGGAATCTAATGAACAAAATAAAATAATAAACAAAATAGAAACAAACTCATAGAGAACAGACTGACAGCTGTCAGACGGGAGGAGGGTTGCAGGGCTGGGGGAAAACGGTGAAGGGATTAAGAAAAAAAGAAACACTCCAGAACTCATAGGTACAGACAACAGTATGATAATTACCAGAGGGAAGTAGAAGAGGTTATGTGGAGAGATAAATGGTGATGGAAGGAGACTTGACTTGGGGTGGTGAACACACAATACAATATACAGATGATGTGTTATAGAATTGTACACCTGAACCCTATGTAATTTTATTAACAATGTCATCCCAATAAGCTCAATTAAAAGAAAATACAACAATTTACCACATCCATACCAAACCAGTGTTTTTCATACTTTGTAATTTTATAGGTGAATGATAATATCTCATTTAATATACCACTCTGATTACTAATGTGATCTCAACACCTTTTTAACTATTTATTAAATACTTTTAGCTACTCATGTCATTTTCCATATTAATATCGAGATGTGCATCTTTTTTGCTGTTGATTTATAAGTGGTTTTTAATTAAAAATATGAACACTGTCATATATTACTATTGTAGTTTAGACTTCTAGTTTAACTTAGATACTGTATAATAAACATATTCCAACTTTAAAAAAGACATAGAATTAGGTTTATAAGTCAATTGATTTGGAGATATATTTGTAGGAAGAGCTGAGTTTTAATTTAATAGCCAGACTGATGTGATTATGTAGGCCTGTTTTTTTATCCTATGTCAATTGTGTTTGATGAAATATTAGGATATGAAGAATTTTAACATTACAATATGATAGAAAAAGTGGATGAAATTATAGGTTAATTTCCTTGAAACTAAACTACCCCTTCCTAATCAAAGTAGACTAATCTAAAAAATACAGGGATTGTTTAACAAGTACCATGACTTTGAATGCCTCTGTATATCTTGAATGTTGGTAGATTCAAAACCATAATGGTCTGTGCTTTTTTATGGTAAATAGGGTTTTGGGAAAATAACAATCCGAATCATTTCTCAAAAGCAGCTTGGTGGCTTTAGATTCTAGCAGCATATGATCACCACTCTTCTCCCACAAACAATATCAAAACATTTCCCCAAATCTCATATTTTGGAGTAAGTCTATACCTGCCTGACACCTAAAATTCTATTTAGAAGTTTCATTCACTAAATTGGAATAGAATAATAAAGGTGATCTTTTCCTTTAAGATTCAACACGCATTGGAAAAAAAACAACAAATATTTGTTTACCTTGCCAGATTAACATTTGCCTTCCCTTTTATTTAAATACTTAGGATGTAGTACAATTTTTGAGTTTTCTCTTTTTAATGTAAATTGTAGAGTCTTGTATTTAGAAATGGAATAAATCATCTACTTTAACTCACAATTTTACAGATTTGGAAACTGGGGCCTGGCACAATTTAGTTACTTGCTTAAAGTTATGAAGAATTAGTAAAAGAATTAAACAGATGTGCCTGAGTCTATAATACTATAGCATTTTTGTTTGTTGATTGTTGCTTGCTGTGAATTAATCTGGACTATTTCGTTAATGAAGGTATATAGCTCTTTTATTTCAATGACATATTTCATTCCCTTAGAATTAACAGGTAAGCATTTCAGCAGTTGAGTCCATTGTTATTTGGATGTTTCTGATGAGTAAATTGAGAGTAAGTTTTACTCAGTGACAGGATTAGAGATGATAATAGCCCATATGGATTTCTTGCCTTTACTACATTCTTCACTCTGAGTTGTTTGTTTTTTTGGTGTATCTATATTTATATTGTTCTAAAGCCTGATTTTTTTTTTAATTCAAAGTTTCCCCTTGTGACTTAGCACATGAATTGTTAGGAAAATATTTACAAAAAAAAATTTGTAACGTGAAAGAAGGGAAAAATCTAACTTTATTTTTTTAAAATATATTTTTGTTGATTTCAGAGAGGAAGGGAGAGATAGAAACATCAATGATGAGAGAGAATCATTGATCAGCTGCCTCCTGCGCGCCCCGTAATGGGGATTGAGCCCTGACCAGAAATTGAACTGTGACTTCCTAGTTTATAGGTTGATGTTCAACCACTGAGATACAACAGCAGGGTGGGAAAACCTAATTTTAAAATGGCCCATGAGGTTGCTTGAATTCTTATCACTTACAATAGGCTTAACCAAGCCAAACAGCATTGAATAATTGATAAATTTTGGGCATAAGGTCTGTTATTCTTCATCTTGCTTATGGTTCCACATCAGTTACTGCTTCTGTAGCAGTTAATCTGAAAGGAAATAACAGCTAATACTACACAACACACCATTAGTCTTATTTTTTTCTTTTCCAGAAAGAGCCATGATCTATCAGTGCTTTTTTTTTTTCAGCACCTGTTTTATATTTTAAAACTTAAGCTGTCTGCTGGTACGTGTTCACTTGATGTGCTCAGTGTCTAGAGATTTATATTTTATGATACTTAAGTGTAGTATAGAAATTGCCATTGGGGTTCAAACCTTTGAATTGCTATTCGGCCTTGGAAAGGCTTTTATACTTAACAACTTTTTTCTCTAACTGTAGAACCAAAAATGTCCATTGAGTTTAGAAGATGCCAAGCAATATTTTTTTTTTTAACAATGGCTAAAAAACTACCCCACTCAATACCCTTTTCAATCATAAATGTGTGAAGCTATAAATTTTATTATTTAAAAGTGTTAACTGTCCCTAAAGCACCAAGCAAAAATTAACTTGAAAATAATATAGCTGGAAGACAAAGGCAATGACAGCCCTTTTTTTGTTTGTTTTTGAAAATGCATTGGACCATGATTATTTCTCTTGATATTGAATCTTATTTATAAATATAAGTATGGTTAATTGTAAAGCCTGTATGGTATGCAGGAGTGTTTCACTTTTGGATCCATTTATTCTTTAAAAAGTCAAGAATCTTATCTGTATTTTATTCTTCTCTCTAAAACCTATTTCAGTCAGTTTAATCTCTTTCCTGTCCCACCAGAACTGCTCTGGTCAAGATCACTAATTACTCTCTAGCTAAATATCCACGGCTAGTTCGCAGCCCTTTTCTTCATTTACTTGCCGTCTGGCCTTGCTCTTCCGGCGGCCTCCTGCTTCACAGGCTGCCCTTCTCCTCTGCTGGTTCCTCCTTAGCTGCATGACTTCACAACATTGAAGTGCTTCAGACCTTGCTGTGTTCTCTCTCTCTCTCTCTCTCTCTCTCTCTCTCTCTCTCTCTACACACACACACATTATTTCCTTGGCTATTTTATCCAGTCACTTTTCTAGCTGCCTTCTGGACTTCATTGACCTGTCTGAAGAGAGAATACATATCCCAGTCTTCTCCCCAGAATTCCCATTTTCCATATCATCTGACCAGAATTCCATTCTCTCAACTGCTATTTATTTTCTCATGCAGCTTCTCCTTCAGAAAATAATAGTGGGTCTACCTTCTGAACATACCTGGAATCATTCTCATATCTCCACCACCACCACTTTGGTCTTGGCACCAACATCCTTTCTCTAAATCATTGCAAAAGCCTCTGACTGATTTCCCTGCTTTTGCCCATGTACTTTGTCTATTTTCAGTTATAGTAGGCAGAGTGATTTAGGTCAGATTATATTGCTCCTTTGCTCAAAAGCTTTCCATTTGACCCAGAGTGCAAGTCCGAGTCCTTATGGTTGCCTTTCATTATCTTATTAACTGCACGGACTCTCTAATTTCTTCCTTAGTCACTTTAATTGAGCCACTGACTCTTTCCTGAGATATCAACATTGCTTGGTCCCTCATCTTATTCAGATCTTTCAAATGTCATCTTTGTTTTATTTTTCTCCAAAATACTTACCATCTAATATACTGTACATTATTTAATGTCTGTTCACAGAGATATATAAGCATAATGAAATCAAGACTGTTCTTTTTTGTTCTTATTCGCTGCTATATTCCTATCATATAGAAAAATGCCTGGCATAGAGTAGGAGCTCAATAAATTGGTTAA